TGAGATAATTATTATCTAATGCTAAATTTAATGCAACATCAGTAATACTCACAAAGTTGCAAACTTAGGAGCCCCAAGCATTCAGAATCAAATCAAATCAAATATATAACCTTTCAAACAGTACTTAGAAAGCTTATATATTTGATTTGATTTAATTTATGTGCAGATGAATCCACTTCCAGCTCAACACGGTGACAATGATTCACAAGACAAATTGATAACGTTTGTTTCCCTGACCATCAACTGGGCCGATTTGTGATCTACTTTTTATTTTGAACATCACATTATTATATTAACTACATGTACCAGTACATACCAAAAGGGTCTAGAATCATCTTCCAGATCCAGGTTATCTACCATCCAAAATTTATGACCCTACATGTGTACATGTAGCATGTCCAGATCACAAGATATCGAACAGGAAGCTCCACTGCTAGGGGAACCAAAATCTACTGATGACCAAATGTGTAACCTTCTAGCGGAGGTAATAACTACACGTATCAGAGGCAAACTAGTAAATGCTATTCAAGAAACAAAACCTTTTACGTAAAAGTTTTCCTTGATGAATGGTGCTCTAATGAGTATTTTCCTAGATCAGTTAACATGTACCTGAACTCTCAACTGAAAGTAAAAACGGAATTGTGTGAGGCAAAAATGCATAATATTTTGTAGTCTCATATTTTTGGCATGAAGTGTATCTTTTAGATAGAAACACACTTTGTCGCAGTAGTTTCACAAGCTACAATTTATGAGACTGACAAAGTTACCTCGTGTCCGTTGATCACAGTTCCATCTTGGATGTCTTCCAGGGAGAGAACAAGGTCTCGATCCTGACCAATAAAGAATGCAATCTGAAACAGATTTTACCACATTCAAGTTATTCTGAAACTTAGACTACTATTTCACTTGTTGGTCTATGGTGTACAAGTGCTTGACTTTGGGACAAATGCTTCTTCCACACGGAGCTCCTTGATACAACAAAATATTCAATTGTAGTGATCTTCTTGGCAAATGTAACAAATTTCGACAGAATGCAATTAATATTCAGTACCAATGATATAATAATGAAGCAGATTAATGCCATTGGTACTCTCTGACCCTGACCTATATGTGTGTGTGTATCTCTCTTGACGGATATTTTTTAACAAATCACACAACAAAAAGCTACTCGATGAAGGTTAGACAACCAGGTAATACGATACGCCAAAAAGCAGTTACTCAAGCAACTGGATATGAATTTGGAAACGGTCAGACATTTCAGCTAGTATCCACTAGCTTTCGTCAGTGACTGAGTTAGCTACTCCATGAGATTTTGAGACCCACTCTATTCTTCTTCGACCCGGGTCTCGTCTTGTCATGTGACTTGATGCGATTATCACGTGACAAGAGACAGTCATATACAGGCTTCAGATAGTGACACCCCCTGTCCCTGTTCTTAAAGGTACATGTCGGCAGATCTGGATTGCCTCCGGATTGCCTCCCAAACAACCCATACATACATCTTTATGGCCATATACAGTACCTCTACCATGGAGGCCAGACCTCTTGTCTGTCCTGTGATGACAGCAAGAAAAACTGTGCAGTTGGCCTTGGCTTCATTCTCCAGTGGCAGATAACGCAGATTCCACACTGCAAGCTGTGGGTTGAAATATGTTATGCCATGTTTCCTGGAAAAATTAAAAATCAAGGCTTAACTTGAAAGACAACATTTGCAAACAAATACAGCAAATTTCACTTCATCTCAACATCACCCTACTCGAAACTGGAACTTTTTGAATTTGCACCCCCTATGCAACAACATCAAAAACACCCACATGTAAAATGGACTCTTCGAAGTCATCTCTTACAGGAATCGCTCAAGTGCAAAAGATATGCCATACCAAAGTCGAGGACATTTTATTTGGATTCATACAATTGGCACAGGATCCCCAAATATACATTTTTATCACAAAATTGAAAAGAAACATCTGAAAGTGAATAATCATAACTAGTTTATCCAAAATGACTGTACAGTGTACACAATGATGTGTATCATCAAGGACATTATACACATGTGTATAATGTCCTTGGTATCATGTACAAAATGACTAATAAAATGGTAGACATATCAATTACTATAATTGCATCATGTCTCTAGTATATTCCCAAAAAAGAACAAGAAATACATGTAGTGATGACTTCAAGTACCTGAGTTATCAAGTGAGAATTGAGGTGTTCAGAAACTTGAGTATTTGTACTACATGTAGGTTTATATAATTATAGAAAATTATCAACTGCTCTAATTAATGCAAATATCAAACAAGAAGCCATAGGCAACAATCCTCCGTGAAGTTTTATATATTTCAACAAAATCCCAAGCGTCAACGCCAGACCTACTGTGCAGACATTATAATTAGGCATCGGTTAATACAATGAGGCGCGTCACAAGCATAAAACATACAAAGAGCTAAATCCATTACTGCTCCTAGGGCGTGTAAAGATACTGTGCTTCAAGTTCGAAGTTCATTTTAAATTACACACACACACACACAATCATTGCATTCACATAAAGATCGGACTATCATGGTCGTGTCTAGTAACAAAGACAGCCCCACCGTCTTACTGTGCCTGTACCTAATTAAGCGCGCCTGGAACAGGCCAAATTCCAGCAACAGTTGCGGTAAGCACCGCGAGTGTTACTACCGCCGGCCAGATAACCAGGATATCTGCTTAGAGTACCTCTGCTACCAGACAACTGCCTAAACCTACGGCCTATTCCACAGGATTGTAAAAGTAGGGATGTTTCTAAAATATGCACTTACTTCAATATCAAAACAGCTACGGTAAAATAAAAAGACGTGCATCATCCCGGACATAATGCCACACCACATGCGAAATTACACAGAAATGCGACATACGGAAGAATGCGTTTTGGCTGCGAACATCTTCCAAAAAACTTGCCATCTCTTAAGTATGGGCAAAAACATCTGGAACCACTTATCGGAACCTCCCCGTATCTGCATGAAGTTCACCCCCCCACTGCTATTCCAAACAACGCGTTTTTCTGGACCATTCCAATTCGCCTCGTAATTGTAGGGGTGCGTCTGCAATATTACATTGACCGCGAAAGCAGCAACGGTAAAAATACACATTCGTGCATCAATTACGGGCATGCCCGCAGACGGCGTATAAAATTGCGTGCCGATTACACAAAGAGAACCCAGTGTTTTGACTGCGAACATGAAAATCAGCCGATCACAACACTCCATCCGGAGGTCCTGACCTCCTTCACGGAGTAATAATCATGCCTTCAACTAAGGCATTCCTAGTTTTTGTGTACTTGGTTTATATACAAAAATCATCAACTGATATGATTCACGAAAAAGAGGATCTTATTAATTAATTATATAATTAACAAGACACCGCTATAATACATAATCCTTATTAATAAAGGATAACATTATTTGGAAAAGGTACGAGGTCGTGTTAATATCTTTTGTCTGAAAAAATAATTTATGATTCCAAGAATAAGAAGTTCATGTATGCGAAAAGTATTGATGAAGTTCTGTGGGCTGAGCATCCCCATTTCAAATATGTACCAGGTCAATAGCCTCCTTCGCAGTCTTGTTGGGCGTCGGCGTTATTTTTTTCTGAGCGACGCAAGTAATATGCGGCCGTGAGGGACGATTTGCTGCCGAGGGAGTTTTTGCCGCGGAGAGAAGGATTCGCGCTCACTCGCGTTGCTCAAAGAAAAAAATAACGCCGACGCCCAACAAGACTGCGAAGGAGGCTACAGGTCAATGGGTTTCTATACCAGAGCACATGGAGTAACCCAACATTTAGATTTCTGGTCTGAAAATGGCAAGAAAACGTCATTAAAATCATTTCAAAGGCCTGTTATAAAAAAATATGGCAGGCAGGCAGGT